CCAGGCGGGTGCCCGCCTCTTGCGGTCCCGCTGGGTGCCCCGAGAGCCGCCAGCCTGGTCCCGGGAAGAGGGGGAGGGCTGGGGGGCATCAGGTGGGTGGCTCAATCCGTGCCAGGTGCAGGGTCTGCTAGCTGGGTGCTGGCAGGCTTGCACCTGGCACAGGCATCGTAGCCAGCCCGTGCCCCTTTAAGGGGTCCGGGACCGGGAGGGGGGCAATAGAGTTTCCCTGGTGTTGGCCAGAGTGGCCACCAGGGAAAGCTGGGGAGGGCTAGCCTCCCACTAGTTCGAATTAAGGGGCTACACACTAGTAAGTTTGAACTAGGCTTAGTCCTCGTACAATGAGGTTTACCTAGTTCGAACTAAGCGCTGCGCTAGTTCGAATTAAGTTCGAACTAGCGGAGCGCTAGTGTAGCGCCTATCAATGTTAATTTGAACTAACGGACATTAGTTCGAATTAACTTTGTAGTGTAGACATACCCTAAGGTCATAACTGTGAGGTAAGGCTATTAAGATGTAGACTCTACTGGAAAAGGTGACACATGGAGCCTGATGTGAGAGAGCTGAAGAATGGCACCTGGGGCATCTTGATGATCTCAAACATTAATAATCTACTGTTGACTGAAATCATTTGGGAGACTCTATATTAAGATGTGTTTATATGTAACAGACCACTGTATAATCAGTCTTGCAAATAGTTTCCATTGCAGAAGTAGCTGTTTGCTGGCATTAATTTCAAGTGAATATTGCCATCTGCTGGGCCGAAACAGCAACACAGAGGAAAGGAATAGCATACATAAACAAGTATATAGAGGAGGGAGAAAGCATGACAGTCTGTGTCATGCTTATGTATTTGCAAGTGTACATGCTTCTAGGAAATTAAATCTAATACAGGCCAGCTCTTCAAATTGCTTAAGTCAATAAAACTATATGTTATCGGTGGAGGAGCTGCTCATCAGTGGAGAGCAGGGGCTGCAAGACAACAGATTTAGGACAGATGACTCAAGTAACATTAGGGGCCAAATTCCATTTACTTTGCTGACGTGATTAGTCCCATCTTGCGAGAAGGAATTTTGACAGGCAGAAGCATGCAAACAACTGTATAATTTCCACAGAAATGTTTTAGTTTAGATAGCAAAATGTACTGTGTATTTAAAGGAATTTAAGTATACACGTATATGCATTTGTCATTACATTTAAGAGTCAACATAATCAAAAAAGCATGATTAGTGCAAGAGCAACCCTCCCTCTTAATTACTGTTGCTGTTTCTTTTAATGAAATATTTGTTCATCCTAACAAGAATCTAACACTAGATTATTTTCCAAAGTGTTCACAGGGCATTTAATTTTTTGTCTAGCAATTGGCAGAGGTTATCCCCCATGTGGATTTGTAAAAAACTTTTCCTAAAGTCATAGATACTGCTAGCTACTCACCTGCTACCAGACAATTTTGTATCATCACGATCAATGGTAATGATGATTTTAAAAATAACACATAGTGATGCATTTGAAACACTGCCTAGGGAGAAGGAACAAAATCCTCACAAACATTAATGAACTTGCCTGGGTTGACTTTTACGTTCTGTCGAAGGGTCCTTTTCAAGCCAGCTCTCATAGAGAGTCTTGCCTTCATAACCCTCGTCAGGGCTTGCAATCTGGGTAAGCAAAGCACACAAGGAGACACATACTGATAATCTGCATTATTCTTGATTTCAAATGTTAACATACGTGGCTTTACATGTGTCATTTACTATCTATGGGTCACAATCCTGAGTCACAAACATCATGTACTTGGAACAACTCAAAGGGGTGGGGCTCCTTGACCCCAGTCCAATGCTGGTACTGATCAGGGCATAGTCCAATCACTGGTGTAAATTAAAACAATGCTGAGGGTAGCTCTGACTTTTGCCCATAGGACTGTTGCCCTTACGGATGCTCTGAGTGGCAGGCTGGGATGCCTCACCACACTCCCTTCCCCTTGAGAATGACCCCTTTGCTAGGAGGAGACAGATGACTCAAGTTTTCCCCAGCCAGGAGTGATTTTCCTCCTGCACACATACTGGCTGAGCCTGCATTATGGCTGCTTTGTGTTATTGGAGGAGTGAAAAGCAAATGCACAGTAAGGCAGGATCTGGACCATAATAATAACCATAAGGGTAATGCCTTGAAGTTTTGATTGAGATTGAGGCTCCATTATACACAACATTGTATATAAGCATAGTAAGAGTCTTTAAAATATTTGCAATCTAAATTGACCGGACAGACAAAGTCAGTATTATTATCCTCATTATACAGAGGGGGAACAGAGAAATTAAATGACTTGCTAGAGGTCAAATGGGGTGTCTGTGGCAGAGCTGATAACTGAACCCAGGTTCCCAATCACAAGAACGTTCTTCAAGAGTGAGAGGTAGATGGAATCCTGTATATTTAAATTCCTGTATATTTAAATTCCTAAAACCAAGGTGACTGACAAGCAAAGTATGCAAAAGCAGATTAAACACATTTACCTAGAAAGCTGGAGATTTCACAAACCCAAGCATTATGAGGCTGGGAGTGAACTGTTTCAGAATACTCAAGGGACTCACTTTCTGCATTGAATATACAGTATATATCTCCGAACTGTATGTGTAAGCGTGTACGCACACACACTCCAAACTGAGACTCTTTAGGGTTCTGAGCTCTGAGATTGTGCCTGCAGTTTACAGAAAAACAACACACTTGTGAAATAATTGCCTGGTTGCTATCATTTCCTTAAAATGAGGGATAAGGGATCTTTCGGAAAAGGCTTTATTTTCCGAAAGATCCGCGTCTAGACTGGCGCTTTTTTCCGGCAAAGCTCCGAGCCGGAAAAAAGCGGCAGCCATTTTTATGCAAATGAAGCGGGGGGATTTAAATCCCCGCTTCATTTGCAATTGCAATGTGTCTAATTTGCATCCCTTTTACGGATGTAAAAGTTATTTTGGGGAGTAGTTATTTTGAAATAGCAGCAATGGAGTATCCACACTACTACTATTTTAAAATAAAAGTTATTCCTCGTAGAAAGCAGGAGTTATTATTTCAAAATAACCAGGCCTTTATTTCGAAATAATGGGCTTGGTAGTGTGGATGCTCCACTTGTTATTCAAAATAAGGGGAATTATTTCAAAATAACTCTCTAGTGTAGACCAGGGCAGAGAGAGGAGTGAGTAAATAAGGATCTCACTTGCATACTGAGGATCATGCTTAAGCCTATCCCTCTTCCAAAACTTCCACTCCTGCATGAGACCCTTCCTTACAGCCTGCTCTCTTGGGTGTAAGGGACAGGGGTAAAGGGGCCTTAGACTCATTTTAACTCAGCATAATTGGCGGACTTGTTGCATCAAGACCATGTGGTACATTTTCTTGGTTCTCAATTATTTTCCCCAAAAGAATGATATTTCAATTAAAATTTCAATACTGACAAATCTACTCGTTCTGCATCCCAATTATCTATACCTTTGAGGAAAGCTTCCATTGACTTCCATTTTCCAACCACTACCCAAGTGATTCCTTTACAACTCAAAGTACAACATGCACTGTTATCAGAGAGACAGAACATAAGAATATGAGAACACCCATATTAGGTCAGACTAAAGATCCATCTATCCCAGTATCCTATCTTTCTACTGGGGCCCATGTCAAATGCCCCAGAGGGAATGAATAGAACAGGGAATCATCAAGTGATTCCTCTCCAGTCGTCCATTCCCAGCCTCTGACAAACAGGCTAAGGACACATATTATTCCTACCCATCCTGCCTAATAACCATTGATTAAAATATAAACCAACAAACAAACGAACGAATGAATTCATACCAAAATGTTTTGATTTTTCAGTTTAAAGCATCTTTGTTTCTAAATTTATTTTAATTTTATCACTCTAAATGGTTATTTTCAGTTCCAATGAAACCCGCTGTTAGATTTAAACAGACTTCTTATTTTCTTAAAATTGCCGGTGAACTGAAAAATCCATTATTCACACATTATTCTACTCCTGGTTACTTGGTGAACTTTTTCCACTTTAAAAGAAGATCTTAGACTACCTTTGGAAGAGAAGGCATCCTAAAGGAGCATGTAGAGGAAAGTGCCTTTGTGCATCTGTCTAGGTTTGATTTAGGACTGTCTGTGGCTCTTTGACCTCTCTGGTTGTAATGGACTCAAGCCCCTTTCCTGTGCTGATTTTCACCAGCCCTGCCCTGAGGAGGATGAAGAAATGAAAATGTGTTCCTCCACAAGCCACACAAGGTTTTGCCAGTTCCTTCCTGAGGAATTTATGAAGGTAAACAATCAGCTCAAGGACATAAAGGGTATGTCTACACTGCATGCTTATTTTGAAATAAGCTATTCCAGAAGAAATACTCTGAAATAGCTTATTTCAAAATAGCATGTCTACACTACAGGGAAGCCTCAAAATTAGTCTGAGGCAGGCTTCCCTAATGTGGATGTGTTACCTCAATTTAGAGCCCCAGGAGACATTGGGGAGTAATTACGTTGAATGACTCTGGGGAGAAGCTATTCCAAAATAGCAGCAGTGGAGCGTCCACACTACTGCTATTACGGAATAGCTATTTTGGAATAAGTGTTATTCCTTGTGGAAAGGGGTTTACAGTTTTTGAAATAAGCCATCCATTATTTCAAACTTATTTCAAAATAACGGAATTGCTATGTAGACGCTCGCACTGTTATTTTGAAATAATGGCCATTATTTTGAAATAACTGTGCTGTATAGATGCACCCAAAAAGACAACTGCTCTAATTAGGGTTCTATTAGCTTTAGCTGCACTGGAGGAATAAACACATCAGAGATCAGAATCTTCTGTTCCCTCAAGAATGATGAGGATATGCTTAAACAAAGCAAGAAGAAAGTGAAAGAAATAGAAAATGAACCATCTCAGGTCAAAATAGCAGGAAAAAAAACCCTGGAGAAACTGCTCTTTGCTGCTCTTTGAAGAAAAAAAGAGAAAGGAACAGAATCAGAATAATGCTGTGTCTTCATCTACAAACTAATTTAAAAATAAACCCAGATCATTTCAAGATCGATTTCAAACAGCTCTGAGAATACACAAAGTTTTCCAATTATTATAAGCACATCCCCAAGATAAATGAAGTATTGGAGAATGTGAATGAATATAATGTAGTACAGGGAATTCCCTGATACCGAGAGCATTCAATTACTTAGTGCTTCTGAGACCCTCTGTTTTTCTATGCTACACGTATGTATTATTCAAGCTGTTAACAAGAGCATGGGGGCTTTTTCCAAAAGAAGACATGCTCGTGTCCCACAAGCATTTGATGATATTTAGATGGAAGTTATCTACCCAAAGCCAAAGCTGACTAAATGCAAACACCTAACTTAGGTGTGGTGTGTAATGGTGGATGCACTAAGTTTTTCAACCAAAGCATTTTTAACCACTTCTCTTTGCAGATGGCTCCTTGGGTGAAAGAGGAAAGAAAGTAATCCTAATCTGGTTCTTTGGGCAGTTGGATTGTTTGCAAGTGAAACAGACTTTTCTTCATTGTGTGAAGTGTCACTGCTATGCTGATGGCCTCACAAACACTTCCCTTTCCTCCCAGAGAGAGAGAGAGAAAGAGAGAGAAATAGGAAAAGAACGCACAAGGAAACACAAAGTTGAAAGTGTTGAGGACAAAGAAGCACACATCTTGGAATCCTTGTGCATTACTGTGTCCACAAAGAAGTGTGACATATGCTTAAAAACAACCCAGAATGTGAAGAGTCTTTCATAGCATGGAATGCTGGATATTTCAGTGGGGTCTAATTTTTATGTCTGTGCCAACAGTTGACAACCACTGGAGGGACCAGTGAGTGGTGGTCTCAGTCCATTTCAGAAGTCCCTCAGAAATGTCAAAGACTGGAGATGGAAAATGAATTAAACCTTCTGCCTGTGGAGGTGGCTCAGGATAAGGCACTTTGTTGACTAAATTTCACTATTCGCCAGCCCAGAATTCATACAAAAGACACTTGTATGGCAAGATAAATCTTGCTCTAGTTAACTGAAAACTATTTATTCTCATTCTTAAGAATAGAGAGTAGAATGCATTCTCCCAAAAAGCCACATTTTATGTGTGTTCAGGCAAAAGCATCCTTTAATGTGCCTGCCACCTACAATAACAGAAGAGTTAAATGAGCATTATAAATACTGAAAGAGAAAAGGGTAGATAGCAGGAACACCAATTTTATAAAATGGGTGCATCTGACCCATTGGAAGAAATAATTTAATCCTTAGATAAATAATAAGGCATTTGGGAGGTGAGAAAAGATTTAGGGAGATAAGCTGAAAAGAAAAGAGGATACCATGCCAATTTGTTGAACTTAGATCTTTTACATTCTCAGGATTTCTTCTCAAATACCATTTTTATTTGTTTTCCACCTTCCTGGAGTCTATATACCACTTTTCCAATAATCTAGCTTTTAATGGGTCTTCTCAGTATTGTTTTAAATATACGCTGTAATACAGTTTTATTTGCTTTAGTAATACTCTTCATCTTTCACTGACCACAGAAGAGCAACTGTGGGCCTCAATCATGTTCTAATGAATGCAAGTTTGCTGTTGATGTTCTCAGGAGTACGATCAATGTCTCTGTAGACTACAAACTATCTGCAATAAGTCTGAGACTTCAATTATCAGAAAGTCATGTATTGTAAACATTCCACTTTTGTACCTCTTCTGTCCGATTATACACCAATTTGTAGAGAAGGGGGCTGCAGTCAACTCTTAGAGTGTAGTTGCCTGAAAACCAAACACAGACAGGGAAATCTTTTTAAAGTGTCTTTGACTCCCTGCTAATGGAGCAAACCCTGATGTCCTTACCTGGACAAAGTTCTCCTTGACTCCAAGAGGAATTTTGTCTAGGCAAGACGGCAGGAGTTTGCACAAAGCACTTACAAACACAGATTGTCGAGTTAGATTTGAAATACATACAGCACTTCTCCTAAACTCATCTTTATGACAGATTCCAAACACAATCATAAAAATGAGATCTGCCATTGGTCTTCAGGCTCAACACCCCTAAAATATACACACTCTTACCACACATATTCTTGCGAACAGATGCACACTGCAATATGTCCTGAAAAATGAGCAAATCTGTGCTGTTTTGGAGAGGGAGGAGGGAAAATGAGTTCTAATGTGAAAGTTCCCTCACAAAAGAAATCCTGCCAGCAGCTGCTTTCTCCTATAGTGAGGGATTTAGTGTTTGTCATATAATGAGACTTCGTTGACTACAACTGTAACAGTGAGACACTATGAGATAGACCATCACTCTAATAAGTGATCCCTGGACAACGTAGAATTTTATATGTAAAAATTAAGATGCTAATCTTCACCCAGAAAACAGCAGTGCTCTGTGATCTGCGCTGGCTGTCTGTTGTGTTCTTTCCACAAAATTCACTTCCTAACAAGAAGGTGACTGCAGGGGTGGACTGGCCCGGCAGGATACTGGGAATTTCCCAGTAGGCTGTCCTCCGAAGGGCCGGCCGAAGGGCCAGCTGGCGGCTGCTGGAGGAGGAGGGGGATTATGACGGGACACCGCAGCCCTGCACTTTAAATTTCCCAGTGCCGGCCATGTACAGGGCACGGTGGGGCCGAGGGAGTGCATGTGCAGCGTGCTCAAATGCCGCGCAACAGCTGAGAGGGGAGACACCTGGGTAGCATGGCCTGGGACTTTAAAACTGCCTAGCCCAGAGTTGCACCGTGCGACCCAGTTCCAGGCCTGGCAAGTGGTCTGGAGCCCCAGAAGCAGCTGGGGCCACAGCTGTAGTAGGAGACATGGCAGCAGAGGAAAAAGGTCAAGGTTTATAAGATATTTATTAATAACTTGGGTGGCGCATCCAAACAAGCCACATGAACTCAGTACTGGTGCACAACACAAAATTCATTCTGCTCATGGGAGGGAACACAATTCATTCTGCTTAGAGGGAACACTTCCCCCAGCCTCTCCACCCCCTCCACCCCTGAGTTAATGTCACACATATAGGGTTAATGCAATTGCAGGATAGTTGAATGAGGTGGGTTTGGTGGGGGCCAAACTAATCCCTATTGGTAGGAGGACGGTGGGAAAAGTCCTTAGAGAGGGGTCACATGACACCTTTTACTTCTGGTCATGTGTCCATCTTGCCCCAAGAGTGTTACTTCCAGAGGCCTGGATAATGAGAGTCAGTGGGTGTGGCTAATGGGGGTCAGGGGCGTGGTTAACAGGGGTCAGATGTGTGGCTAATGGAGGTCAAAGAGTAAATTTAAAAAAAATTCTTTAATGTGAAACAATGGGCCATTCTCAACCCATTTCCCGGGCCTATTTTGATTGCCAGTCCGCCCCTGCTCCTACATTCTACCCTACTGTCAGTCTGCAAGTTAATTTAAGTCAAGACAGACCACACTACAGCAAGCCAGTATCTGGGTGGCAGAGATATAGATTATGACAGCAAGGTCCAGAGGAAAAATAAATCAGAAATGATCTTCTAATCAGAAAAAAAGTACATAATGGCTTTCTTAGAAAATGTTAACATCAGCTGAGAAGCCAATAATACCCACAGACTGTAAATTCTAACAACAAATGGTAGGTACACAGGGATATATAAGGACTCTGCTGTATCTGATAGTTTATGTTTTGTTAGAACTATTAGCAGATTTTGATACTATTTTAGATACTGTGTTGTTTCTGGCTGAAGAGACATATGACATTCAACTACATTAAAGCTATAATGGAAAAGAACACTTGGTTGGTTACATTAGCTAAAGCAGCCAAGGTATTTGTCTATTTAGCAACTGGAAATCAGATGCAAGACAATGTTCACAAAGGACACCAACCCTTTTCTGTGCTAAAGGACAATGGAGAAAATAAATATGCTATGCTATACAAGGCACAGTGCAGAATGTACTTTGATGTACTAACTGATTCCTCCAAGGAATATAGATGCTATCACACCATTGGGGATTTATATGCCTGATGTCAGGAGAAAGAAAGCTAATATACTTAAAACAGAGCAGTGAAGCATGGCACCAGTTTTGCTTATGATATGTTTCACAATGCTTTACTTTCATATTTCACTTTGATACGCAGACAAAGGCATCACTGCATAATCCAGTTTTGGAAGCAAATTGGCATTGAATGAGCATTTTGGCTCCAATTCGTCTCCAATAAATTTGTTACAATACACACTGCGAATATGAAGTACAGATAAAGCTGTTATTTCAGCAGCAAGATCATCTGTAGGCGTGAAATGTAGGCTAAAAGCCTGCTCTATTTTTTACACAGCATGCAGGCTCTGTAACTGAAGCAAAAGCTCTGATTTCTGCCCCGGTCCCCAATTCTACAGAGCATTCAGAAAGCAGGGTTGGGTTTTGGTTTCCAATTATTATGGGACAAAGAGAATTCTCAGTTGACAAAAACAAAACTAAACTATTAAATATTTATGGTGAAAGCTACTTCACTCATGCAAAGAATCCAGAGTAATTGGGTTTACATAGACAAAGTGCAAATAGAACCAGGAAGGAATCCTCTAACAAACTGAGGCTATGGTGCAGCAGAGCACCCACTCCCCACTGGCTGCTACCCCAGGTATAGAAAGGTGACACTGATCTCTGGGATGTGCTTGGGTTTTGACTCCCTCCTAAGAGGGACTGCGTCATCAATTGCCATCCAGACCTGCAATCTTGAGACGTGTGCTGCTTACCAGGAGCTCGCATTCAGGATGTGATTTAGAGTCTTCCGAAAGTGATTAAACCTTTGGATCACTACCCCTTCCTGCTTCTCCATTTAGGAACTAACGATACGAACAAGAATGACCTTGAGCGGGTCATAGCAGATTATGTAGCAGATTATTATAGCAGGAATTTGAAGCTCAAGTGGTGTTCTCGTCCATCCTTCTGGTTGAAGGAAAAGGTCCAGATAGGGACTGTCAAATTGAGGAAATAAATGCGTGGTTCTGCAGGTAGTATCGGAGAGAGGGCTTTAGTTTCTTCGACCATGGGACTCTGTTCCGAGCACAAGGATTGTTAGGAAGAGATGGGATCCCCCTAACCAAGAAAGGAAAGAGCATCTTCGCGGGCAGGCTTGCAAACCTAGTGAGGAGGGCTTTCAACTAGGTTCGTTGGGGGACGGTGACCAAAGCCCAAAGGTAAGTGAGGAAGTTGGATACCGGGAAGAAACACAAGGAGGAACGAGCAACAAAGGAGGACCCCTGATTTAGCTGGAGAAGGTAGGGCAATCAACTGGTTATCTAAGGTGTTTGTACACAAATGCAAGAAGCCTGGGAAACAAAAAGAAGAATTAGAAGCCCTGGCCCAGTCAATGAACTATGATTTGATTGGAATAACGGAGACTTGATGGGATGACTTCCATGATTGGAGCATTGTCATGGAAGGGTATAAACTGTTCAGGAAGAACAGGTGGAAGAGAAAAGGAGGAGCAATTGTATTGTATGTAAGAGAGCAGTATGATTGCTCAGAGCTCCAGTATTTAGAGGGAGAAAAGACTGTTGAGAGACTATGGTTTAAGTTTAGAGGTGGAAGCAACAGGAATGATGTTGTGATTGGTGTCTGCTGTAGACCACCGGATCAGGTGGATGAGGTAGACGAGGCTTTCTTCGGACAACTGAGAGAAGCCTGCAGATCACAGGCCCTGGTTCTCATGGGGGACATTAATCCCCCTGACATCTGTTGGAAGACTAATGCAGCAGTACACAGACAATCCAGAAAGTTTTTGGAGAATGTTGAGGATAACTTCTTGGTACAAGTGCTGAAGGAACCAACCAGGGGCCATGAGCAGCTTGACCTACTGCTCACAAACAGGGAGGAACTAATAGGGGAAGTAGAGGTGGGTGACAACCTGAGAAGCAGTGATCATAAGATGGTAGATTTCAGGATCCTGACCAAAGGAAGAAAGGAGAGTAGCAAAGTATACACCCTAGACTTCAGAAAAACAGACTTTGACTCTCTCAGAGAACTGATGGGCAGGATTCCCTGGGCTGCTTACATCAGGGGTGTCCAAACTTTTTTCAAAAAGGGCCAGATTTGATTAAGTGAACATGCGTGAGGGCCGACCATTTTGCCTGACATTCTTTGAACCATTACAATTAAATGCAAATTAACTATTTTATGCAAAGTTTATTGCAAACAGCATACTTTTCATTTCGTCACATGGATGACATATCTAAACAGGTGTTAAATCACTCTGCCTTTCATATCTGAAGGCCAGATGAAAAAAAAAATCCAGGAAGCTGAAATATGTGTCAGGAACATGGTAAAGTCAAATTAACTATTTTATGCAAAGTTTATTGCAAACGGCATACTTTTCATTTCGTCACATGGATGACAAATCTAAACAGGTTATCTGAAGGCCAGATGAAAAAAAATCCAGGAAGCTGAAATATATGTCAGGAACATTGTAAAGTACATTACATATTATTGGTAATAAAGGTTGTCTGTCAACTTTTAAGTTCAAAAAATATGAACAGGAACATAACACCAAGTATACATGTTGTGTCCAAATATATTTATAACTGATTTAGACCAACTGACATTAACTGAGATTTTACAATGTATTCATCTCAATACATATGGATTCGTTGGGGGCCATAAAAGATAGATATTGCCAAATTACCTGTGGGGCCGTATTTAAACCGGAACACGGGCCGCAATTGGCCCGCGGGCCGGACTTTGGACATGCCTGGCTTACATGAAGAGGAAAGGAGTCCAGGAGAGCTGGCAGTATTTTAAAGAAGCCTTATTAAAGGCACAGGAAGAAACCATCCCAATGCGCAGCACGACAAGCAAATATGGTAGGCAACCAGATTGGCTTACCAGGGACATACCTGGTGAGCTTTAACACAAAAAGGAAGCTTACAAGAAGTGGAAACTTGGACAGATGACTAGGGAGGCGTATAAACATATTGCTCGAGAATGCAGGGGAGTTATCAGGAAGGCAAAAGCGCAACTGGAATTGCAGCTAGCAAGAGATGTAAAGGATAACAAGAAAGGTTTCTATGGGCATGTTAGCAATTAGAGGGTCATTAGAGAGCGTGTGGGGTCCTTACTGGACCAGGGAGGTAACCTAGTGACAGATGATGTGGGAAAAGCTGAAGTACTCAGTGCTTTCATTGCCTCTGTCTTCACAGACAAGATCAGCTCCCAGACTAATGCACAAGGCAATGCAGTATGGGAAAGAGGTGGACAGCCCTTGGTGGGGAAAGAAAAAGTTAGGAACTATTTAGAAAAGCTAAACACACACAAATCCATGGGCCCAGATTTAATGCATCCGAGAGTACTGAGGGAGTTGGCAAATGTCATTGTGGAGCCTTTGTCCATTATCTTTGAAAACTTGTGAATATCGGGAGAGCGGATGATTGGGAAAAGGCAAATGTAGTGCCCAACTTTAAAAAATGGAAGAAGGACAATCCAGCCTTACCTTAATCCCCAGAAAAATCAAGGAGGGGATTCTCAAGAAATCCATTTTGAAGCACTTGGAAGAGGGGAAAGTGATCAGGAATAGTCAACATGGATTCACGAAGGGCAAGTCGTGCTTCAACAATCTGATTAGCTTCTGTGATGAAGTGTTAGTACCTTGCTGGTTGCTGTGCTTGGGTTTGGGGTGTCGATGACCACTACTGGCTTCTGTCTGTAAGCACTGCCCAGCGGGGGGCTTCTTGAGGGCCCCCATGCCAGTGACCGAACTGGTTCTACCAGTTAAGGGAAGGGATGGAACAAAAGAAGTGAGTGTTGGGGGAAGAGGTAGTCTTGGGCTGGAACCATGAAGGAAACAGACTAAGGAGGGGGCTGGAATCTAGGGGCCCAGGGACCCCATCTCAAAGGGGCTGAGGCATCCTGGCCCAGACTCCTGTAGACACATCACATCTATGCTGTGCTGTATCCTGGAGAAGCAATAAACGCCTTCTATTCTACTGGCTGGTGGAGTCTGCTCTTGCTGCTACAGGGCTGCTGGATTGAGGGGAACCCCAACTGTGCCGTCACAGCTTCTATGATGAGGTAACTGGCTCTGTGGATATGGGAAGGTCAGTGGCTGTGACATACCTTGACTTTAGCAAAACTTTTGATATGGTCTCCCACAATATTCTTGCCAGCAAGTTACGGGAATGTGGATTGGATAAATGGACTGTAAGATGGATAGAAAGCTGGCTAGACTGTCGGGCCCAACGGGTAGTGATCAACAGCTCGATGTCAGATTGGCGGTCAGTTTCTAGTGTAGTGCCCCAAGGATTGTTCTAGGGCTGGTTTTGTTCAACATCTTTATTAATGACCTGGATGAGGGGATGGATTACACCCTCAGCAAGTTCTCAAATGACACTAAGTTAGGGGGAGAGATAGATGAGCTGGAGGGCAGGGATAGGATCCAGAGTGACCTGGACAGATTAGAGGATTGGGCCAAAAGAAATCTGATGAAGTTCAACAAGGACAAGTGTAGAGTCCTGCACTTGGGATGGAAGAATCCCAAGCATTGTTACAGGCTGGGGACTGACTGGCTAAGTAGCAGTTCTGTAGAAAAGGATCTGGAGATTACAGTGGATGAGAAGCTGGATATGAGTCAACAGTGTGTCCTTGTAGCCAAGAAGGCCAATGGCATATTAGGGTGCATTAGGAGCATTGCCAGGAGATCTAGAGAAGAGATTATCCCTCTTTACTCGGCTCTGGTGCGGCCATATCTGGAGTATTGTGTCCAGTTCTGGGCCCCCCACTATAGAAAGGATGTGGACGCATTCGAGAGGATCCACATTTTGAAGGGAGACCAAAATGATTAGGGGGCTGGAGCGCATGACCTATGAGGAGAGACTGAGGGATTTAGGTTTGTTTAGTCTGCAGAAGAGAAGAGTGAGGGGAGATTTGATAGAAGCCTTCAACTTCCTGAAGGGAGGTTCCAAAGAGGATGGAGAGGCTGTTCTCAGTAGTGACGGATGGCAGAAGGAACAATGGTCTCAGGTTACAGTGGAGGAGGTTTAGGTTGGATATTAGGAAAAACTATTTCACTTAGGCTACATCTAGACTGCAAGCCTCTTTCGAAAGAGGCTTTTTCGAAAGATACTTTCGAAAAAGCTTCTTTTGAAAAAGAGCATCTAGACTACAATCAGTACTTTCAAAAAAGCAAGCTGCTTTTCCGAAAGAGAGCACCCAGGCAGTCTGGATGCTCTCTTTCGAAAAAGCACAGTTTGCATTACATAGTGCCTTTTTTCGAAAAAGCACTTTCAAAAAAAGGCGTTATTCCTCGTGAAATGAGGAGTACAGCCGTTGAAAGAAAAGCCGCGTTCTTTCAATTTAATTTCGAAAGAACACGGCTGTAATCTAGACGCAGGTGAAGTTTTTTGTCTAGACACAGCCTAAGAGGGTAGTAAAGCACTGGAGTGGGTTACCTAGGGAGGTGGTGCAATCTCCATCCCTAGAGGTTTTTAATTCTCGGCTTGACAAAACCCTGGCTGGGTTGATTTAGTTGAGATTGGTCCTGCCTTGGGCAAGGGGCTGGACTTGATGTCCTCCTGAGGTTTCTTCCAGCTCTATGATTCTATGATTTATAACCCTGACTGATATCACATGGCTAGGGGCCTGCAAATAAAGTTTAGCATCAGCATTCCAGTGTGTCACAACCTTAATACACCCTTCACAGCACCTGAGTGGTGTGGTATGGTCTTCTGAACCATGCAGATGTGCATCACTCTCTCTCTGGGCCACTCTCAAAACCCTCCCTTGTTGCTGACATAGGGATCCCACCCCAGCACATACAGAGCAGAGGGTGCCTATGCAACTGCTCCACTTGCACATCTCTGCACAGACAAAACACTGAGCATAGCTCATTGCAGTAGTCTGTGGCAGCAGGGTGAACTACATCCCCAGTGACATTAAATCGATAATATGAGTTGTCATGTGCTGCCTTAATTCATTACATAATATGTCCATATCGATCTATAATACAGTCTAATCATGAGACATTGTAAAAAGAGTCAATCTAGTACAGTGAACATTGTCTTCCATAAACTATATAGCAAAGCAAACTGTATATCGAAGCAAATGTAGTTCTGAAATAGATTAAAATCCAAGTTAAACTGTTGAATTCATTAGCATATTTTAAGCATATTTATATTATCACTTATCTTTGGTCTAAAGGTCTCTACCCTACTACATAGCTCATTATGGTGCTATTTGTTGTGGGAAAATAATATGAAATCTGAGTTGGATTCTCTCTCCACTGTCCTCGACATTTGCCTCTGCCCCATGTATTCTCAATACAGGCAGTCCCCGGGTTACGTACAAGATAGGGACTGTAGGTTTGTTCTTAAGTAGAATCTGTATGTAAGTCGGAACTGGCGTCCAGATTCAGCTGCTGTTGAAACTGACCAGCGGCTGACTACAGGAAGCCCGAGGCACAGTTGCTCTGCCCCGTCTCCACTGTCCTCGACATTTGCCTCTGCCCCATGTATTCTCAATACAGGCAGTCCCCGGGTTACGTACAAGATAGGGACTGTAGGTTTGTTCTTAAGTAGAATCTGTATGTAAGTCGGAACTGGCGTCCAGATTCAGCTGCTGTTGAAACTGACCAGCGGCTGACTACAGGAAGCCCGAGGCACAGTTGCTCTGCCCCGGGCTTCCTGGAATCAGCCGCTGATCAGTTTCAACAGGCTG